AAAAATTTGAATTTCAAATGGTATTTGAAATTCAAATTTTATGGCAGCCACATGTACACTCCCCATGTGTAGATCCCATTTGATTTAAGTTGCATTTAGGATTAATTTGATGTTGCTAAGTGCGTATCATGTGCAGCCACCCTTAGGCTATCACATGTGCACCAAATACAACTCAAATTACTCCTAATTGTGATTTAATTTAACTAACTTTGCCTAATTGAGTTTTTCCTCTCAAAACCTAATCTAATGGCCTAAATATAATGGTCAACCTATCACAAACACTAAAAAATAATAAAAGAAGCAAAATGATCAGAATATTAGGTATGAAAATATCCAAGACCCATTAAGCCCAAAAACAGGCCCACTAAGCCTATGGCCCAAAAACCATAATCTAAGTGGTCCAAAGTACAAGACCAAAATATATGAATCTTATACTAATATAATATGTACAAATAGTGTGTCTTAGAGTGTAGCCCAAGAGAAGAGAAACTTGGGCCCACCAAGCCCACCGGGCTTATTAGGCTCTAAAACAACCAAATCTTCATGTCTAACCCATTCCTCTTGGGTCTTTCAATATGTCACCTCTTGACTTCCTTGACATGATTCCATCAACACTAGAGAATATATCTACTAGTAGTGGAACAACTACTAACTTAGGATTATATACCTACAGATATGATAATATGTACTATATATCCTACATATAAAGGTAAAGCAACTATACAAATTTACATAGTATAAGTTACTAGTCAAGCAACTCCTATACATAGTACTACACAATAGTAGCACCAAAAAGACTTCACTCCACCATCCGCTAGATGGTCTCCACTACACAGCATCTCAACCTATTCATCCTCTACTCTCATACCAAATATGATTATCGCAGTTCAAACCATATGAAAACACACAAGGGTAAGCTAGAGTTTAAAGCATTAACATATACACCAAGATTTTACAACACAACTCATATTTTTCAGCATCAACATTTAACCACATTCAACTCTATCAACATTACAACTACTTCTACTACAACACAAGGTCAACTTAATCAACACAACATTAACAACTCGATTTTCAACACATCAACATACTTCATAACAAATCAATATTACGTATGAAAAACACAATCAAATCAACACCATATATGCACAACACAATAGCTATATGTGTCATCATGTGTTTCAACTCAGAGATCTCCTACAACACATGGTAAACAATTTAAATAGCTTGACCCTATCGATTAACAACAAAAAGGTGATTTTTTGGCTTGCTAGATCAATAGCAAATTGGATATCAATCTACAACACAACTTTGTTTCTCGGATGTTGCCACTTAAATAAGGAAGTCTAAAACTACTGTTAGGGTAGAACAACTAGGTATGGGCCTACCATAATATTAGCTAGCTTAACTAAGCCTCCTGATTACCCTCTGAATACTATGCCTTTTTGATACTCAATTAGGAACTAAGTTCCCGACTTCATACTTTACTCAGTTGGTCACTTGTAATCAGTATAACTCGACTTGGCCTCTATATTATGGTCACTTTATACATGTGTACTTCGACCATGCCCACACATAGTACCAACTAAGTCCTAGAGGAGACTCAATACAACTATTCACTTCAATGGTCAACATCCCAAGAAAAGTTTTTCAACAAATTGAACTCTTAGAGCAACACAACACAATTTTCACATAATGGGATATGCAACTTAAAAGAAACCTTCACCTTTAGTCTTAAATTGGTCATCAGAACTCAACAACACCATGCATAAATGCCTAAAGTGTTCTTAGTATGCATCATTTCAATAACACAACAACGTCATGCATTACAACTGATCTCAACTTTCAAATAATAACTCATAACACAATCATCACATATAACCTCATCCATGCAACTCATTCACCCTCATTTAGTCATCAAATAACTCAATCAACAAGTATTCCAAAACTCATCAAATCAAACAACATGTTTTCCTTCAGTAATCAACATCCGACACCACACACCCAACACTTGGCATCATCTAGGCAGGGAACTCTCTACCCCACCCATGCTTGGTGATACTCAACTCGTGCTCAACATGGATAAGGCAGAAGCCCCTAAGACTTCACACCTAACATGGCAAAGTGCCATGTTTAGCCTTATTTTAGACAGAGAATCTCTACCTGACTCACGCCCGATATCACCATACTAATGCCTAGCCTCATCCGAACAGAGAGCTCTAGTTTGGCCACACTAGGTGCCTCTTAATCTTGGACCCAACATCACTAACTTGGAGACTTACTAATGCTCTCACACTCGACGCCATTCAAAACATGCCCAATGCTATTCCAACCCAAGACAAGTTTTTCTTCTCATGCCCGATGCTATCGATCTTGTGCCCAATGTGATCAAGACAAAGAACCTTATGTTGGAACGACGACCGATGCCTTGAGACCGCACTTGACTTAATGAGCAATTTGCACTTATGAACACACACACACACATGTGTGTGCTATATACAACTCATATGCACAACCATTTTTAACATGCAACACATAATTCACTACAAATCACCAATTTCTTAACTTTTCATCAAGAACACCAAAACCCCAAATCCCCTTTGAAACCCACTTCTATTTGATCAACATAGGCATGAATCTCAAGGGAATTCAAGAACCATACAACTCAAGCATCACTACATAACTCAACTATTCAATCAAAATCATTAAGTCTAGCTTCTCTTACCTTCGAAATCTCTAGGCTAAGAAGAAGAGGAAAAAGAAAAAAAAGAAAAAGAAAACAATCTCTGAGCGAATGAATAATCTCCGAAGAAAACAATCTAGTCACATATTGTTAGTGTTAAGTCAAAAGATGATTTTGGATTCCTCAAGATTTGGAATTTTAACGTAACAAACGAAATGTTTTTACAAGAGAAAATGTATTTGAAAATGATTATCAGACAAAATAAGACACATATTGTCTGTAAGACGATGTGAATCAAATGAAACATACAGTCTATTTCATACAAAATAAATGTTCCTTATATATTGAGACTAACAACAAAATTTATTTGAATTCTTTAACCCTTAGCAGATTGAACTAGAAAGTCATATTGGAACTCACAAATTTGTTAAAAAGTAAAAAAATCATACTTTTCATCAAAACCAAGGATGTAGATCCCTAAAATCATATAGAAAAGCAGATAAAGACACTACTATTGTTGCTTTGCACTAACATTGCTTTTGTAAGCTCCATTTGGTAGGAAAAATGATAAATAGTTTCCTTGATCAGATAAGAGATACTGTTTGGTGAAATACGTTTAATACTTGCATTAAATGAGTCAACGATTACCTCTCATTATAAAGAAATTTTTTGAAGACAAACAAAGAAAAATTATGAGTTGGACTCAAAGTATGGCAACAATCATCTTCTCTAAAGCTACTACATAAGAAGATTCGAAGCTCAAAAAAGAAAATACACAATACAATAGAGAAGACATATGCACAAAGAGACACATTTTGTAAATTATACTTATTTATAAACTTTATTCTTTCTTGAAAAAAACTTATTGCACTATATTGGAGGTATAACATCTAAGCGAGACAAAAACAACATCTTTGTAACATTTATAACCATTGTCATAAGGTTGAGCTTGGAAAGACTTGTCTATAAAATAATACTTGTTTGAGCATGGAGAGGCTTGTTTGAAAAAGAATACTTGGTTGTTAAGTTTGGGGAGGCTTGTTGTGAAAATTATGCTTAGGTAGTTGCTTGAAGAGACAAGTCAAATAATATTTAGAGTTAAGCCAAAAGTGATTTGTTGAAAGAATATTTGTATCTTTGTTCAAAGATAGTGGAACTCATTCTGCTTGGATTGGAAACTGGACATAATCTCGCTAGTTGAAACAAACAAGTATAAAAATATCTAGTGTTTTGTTTGACTTCTCTTCGCACTGCATTTGACTAAAGTTACTACTTCACTATGAAAAATTGTGAGTTTTTGATACACATTATTCAATTTCCCTTTTAATGTTTATCTTTTCTCCACAATTAGGTAGTGATCAAATTCATCCAAGGGTTTCCTCGTATCACTTTATCTCAAATGCACTCCATGTTAAACTTAACCATGTAGATCCACGACCAATGTCAATCACCTCAAGTCCTCTTGAAGGTTTCTATATCTTCGTTAAACAATCACACATCATCAAATAACCAATACTATTCCCTACTAGTTTGATGATAATTGCATTTTTTTCATGAAATTCTCAACTCATATAGAAGTTTCTCATCGATGTAACACTTTGGCCTTAATCTGTTTCCATCTTCGAATTCCATTCTAAATAACTTGCTTTGAATCAAATCTATTTTCTCCTTTCTTAGTAATGGGTTTTGAGAGTCCAAGACATTGTCATGAAATGTGACTCTAGAAACACCAACATGATGGTTTCAGTGGACGAGAACCCAACCATTGACCACCATGTGCTTTTAGAAGAACTCCAATCATACCACTCATTGGTCCCTTTGTTTTATAATAAATGTCATCCTAAATTTTTATATTTATACAAAAAAATAAATAGAGAAAATAATATAGAAATTTGACAAAAATAACCTTTATTAAAAATGATGCAATATAATAAATTCTAATAAATATCACTCTTTCTAATTGTCTTTATAAACAAAAATAAATTTACCCTATTTAAGAAAATTAGTTGGTATGATTTAATTAAACAAATTCTATTTAAAAATCAATACTTTTAAACTATAAAAAAAATCATCAAAAATAAAATTTTAATTAAAATAATAACATTAAATAAGATTAAGTTAATTAAAATTGACTTATATTTAAAATCAACATCCATATAATTTTAGTTAAGAGTAAAACTAGTACTTTATAAGCATATAAATAAAAACAATAATTAATATCACATTTAAAAATTAAAATAACACTATAAAGAGTAAAAAGACAAAAGTAAAAACAAAATTTTACAATTTGAACTTGTGTTTTTCTTCTTATGTAGAAATATTGAAGCAAGTGGATAAGCAAGAGAAGCAAAAAGGTTAAACCCCAAACAAAACCCTTCTTCTCCTGATTCCTGAAAGCCAAGGACGCACGAATCCATCAATGGCGAGGCTTAAGACGGGCATTGACTCGGCGTTCTGGGACCTGAACGTTGCCTCCCCTCAGTGCCACGACGGTTGGGCCAAGGCCGTTCCCGGCGGCCCATTTCCGGTGGACGGCTCCGTCGGAAGCAGACTCCTCCGCCCTCAGCAATTCTCATTCCTCGGAAACGGCATAACCCTTCCCGCCATGCCCTCTCTCTCTCTCACTTCGCCCAAGGATTTGGGTTCCCTCGCTTTTCAGTCCCTCCTCCTCAAACTCGCTTCCCCTCGCTGGTGCCTCACTCACTCCCCACTCTCCTCCTTGTTTTTTTTTCTTTTGTTTATTTAGGTCTTGTTTGAATATACTATTCTAGAAGAAAAAGATAGGAAGAAAAAAATGAAATCATCTTCTCTAGCTCAAGGCCTCAAGCATAAGTTAATTTGTAGGTATAAACTGTGTCTTACTAACTTGGCTAAATATGTTTTAGTTCGTTAAATTTATAGTGAAATTGTTTTTGTTTCTTAAATTTAAAATGGGTGTTTTTAATCCATGTAATCCGAAAAATTTTTAATTTAGTCCTTATGGCCAAATTTTTTTAGTGAAGTGCATAAAATTCATTTACATGTATCCTTGTTAGTGGAAACATCATATTAAACTCAATTAGTGTTGCATAACTATATCAATCTGTAATTCAATAATGTTATTTGTAATCTTTTTACTAAACTTAGATTTTTTGAAATTACAAGATTAAAATAATCAATTTTAAATTTAAGAATCTAAAAGTAAATTTATTCTAAATTTGAGAGATTAAAAATATATTTAAGCTTATTACTTTTTCAAAATATTGTTTTTAATTTATGCATATAGTAAGCTTATGGAGAAGTTTATTTTGACTTTTCCTCTTATTGACTTCTCTTATAAGTGTTTTGGAGAAATTTACCGCACGAGACTCTTAATTTGGTTTGGATCTTATGGGGTCGTTTGGTTTTCTAGTTGTACCGTGGTGGTCTCCCATTGGCCGACCATATTGGCCGATCCAAGGCACGTCAGTAAAATACCGATCTAACATGCTCTTTGCACCTTAGTGCTCGAGCATGGAGGGCTATGTACCGTGGTGGTCTCCCATTGGCCGACCATATTGGCCGATCAGAGGCAGGTCGGTAAAATGCCGATCACACAAGAGGGACCCAAATATGGGGAAATTAACTGGCTCACTCGGACAATCAATAAGATCCCACGATCCGTGGGAAGTGTAATAAATACCGGGAGTTACGAGTCCATAATGGGGCGTGATTTATGAGATCATAAGTGCGATTCATGTCTATAACGTCACACCGTTATATATAGCAATGATGAGGTCTAAGGCGGCAGGTTACTCTCATCGAATGTTCTAGGTCAAGACTGCTGTCAAGTTCTTTTAGCTCGGTATCGCTAAGGGTTCTTCGGCGGCGGTCTCCAATACCGGAACATTTTGGCGCCCACCGTGGGGCAGGTAAAACTGCATCCCACACCTTTGTTGTTGGACGTGAGCAGAAAGTCTCAATACGAGGAGTGAGAGAAGTCGTAGGAAGTAGGAACACACTACACGCAACAACATATCAGATTCACTCATTCATTCATCATCGCCAACTATCTCCATAATCCACGCTTACTGGTCAATACCATGTGTCAATATGATACACCTTTTCTTCTTCTGACTATTCACTGACGCTGCACCACCACTTTCATCTTTGGTTTGGTAAGATCAAAAAAGAAAAATCCCACCTTTTGCTTGTGTTCTTGAGAAAGTCACTGTTTTGTTAATACCCATGTGCTATATTCATGTTATTCCCGACATCACATGTTCAAAAATTGATTTGGAAGCCCTGTTAGATCTCGGGGTGATTCACGTTGTGTCACGAGATTTTCTGAGGTTTTGATGACCATGTGGTAAATTCCACCCCTTTGTGTTCGGTGTTGACTTTATTTGCATCCAAAATTGGATCTTACAACGGGGTGGTTGGTTGCCATAGAAGATTTGATTTGATTTGATTTTATGTTATTTTGTTTTGTTGGTTTTAATTTGTAAGGAAGATGCAATCAAGGGGTGTGCCCCTTGAAGAGAGAACGAGAGGTGGCGGGCAACACCATTAGGGGCCGAGTTGGTAATAGAAACCCGAAATGTCTCCCAAGACTCAGGTAAAGTATTTAGTAGCCATAGTCCCAAAACTTCATCATCAAATTTGATACCCATACCGGATAACTGATCTAGGAGCCCTTGAAATTCATTCAAGTGATCTGAAATGGAAGAACTTTCCCTGTACCTCAAATTCATCAGACAATTCAACAAATACAATTTATTATTTCCTGATTTAGAAGCATACAAGGACTCAATCTTCTCCCATAAAGTTCTAGCATGTGTCTCATTTGCAATGTGATTATAAACATTGTCTTCTACAAATTGCCGAATAAAACCACAAACCTGTTGGTGTTCAAAGTCTCAATCTTCTTCAGACATAGAATCCGACATTTGAGTAGTAAAGACAGGAAGATGCATTTTCTTCACAAATAGCAAGTCTTTCATCTTGCCCCTCCACAAGTGATAATTAGTACCATTCAAAGCAATCATTTTAGTATTTGCCTCCATCATTCAAGCAAGTCAAATAGCCCCAAACCAAAGCCAACAAGAGCTCTGATACCACTCTGATGGGGAAACAACAACACAATAACAATACAGAGCAAACTCAAACAGTTATCACAGCGGAAATAAATTCCCCAAACTTGCAAGAATTTGTGAGGAGCAACAACCAATGAACAAAAATAATAAATCACCAAAAATCACACACAGAGACACCAAGATTTTTAACGTGGAAAACCCCTCAAAGTAAGAGTAAAAACCACGAGTCGTCCAGACCAAAGAAATAGCTCCACTATGATCAACAAAAAAGTACAAAAGAGTCTCAGTCTACTGCATAAAATAGTGCTAACACCCAGCCAAACAACAAAGCAATAAAGCTTACAAATAGAGAATAAAGAAGATGAAAAACTTCAAATACACAGCTACAGTGCGAACTGAATATCTCCCTACTCAGACCTAGTTTCAACGATCCAACCGGTCATAATGAAGAAACGGATGTCACGAACCTGCTGTCCAATTTTTAGCCCGATCCAACGGTGAACGAATCTGCAGTACTGATTTTCCTGTCCCCGCTTTAAGGTCGGCACAGTCTACACCTTGGCGTGAAGAGCACTTTAAGGTAGACACGTTCAACAATCTACACTTTGGCGTGAAGAGCGCTTTAAGATCGGCACAGTCTACACCTTGGCGTGAGGAGCGCTTTAAGGTAGACACGTTCAACAATCTACACCTTGGCGTGAAGAGCACTTTAAGGTCGGCACAATCCATACTTCGGCAAAAAAAACCCTTCAAGGTCGGCATTTTAACGACCCATACATTGGCCACGACGTCGCATTAACGGCGGATTTTAACAACCTGTACATTGGCGAAAAAACGCCCTTCAAGGTCGTCAATTTAACGATCTACGTCTCTTGGCGTCAAAGCATCTTAAGATCAAAATTTTTCAACAATCTACACCTTGGCGTGAAGAGCGCTTTAAGGTCGACATTCTTAATAATCTACACCTTGGCGTGAAAAGCGCTTTAAGATCGGCATTTTAACGATCTATACCTTGGCGTGAAAAGCGTTTTAAGGTCGGAATTTTATTTTTTACAATCTAGACCTTGGCGTAACAAACGCTTTAAGGTCAGAAATTTAGACGATCTACACCTTGGCGTGAAGAGCGCTTTAAGGTCGGCATTCTTAATAATCTACACCTTGGCGTGAAAAGCGCTTTAAGATCGGCATTTTAACGATCTATACCTTGGCGTGAAAAGCGTTTTAAGGTCGGAATTTTATTTTTTACAATCTAGACCTTGGCGTAACAAACGCTTTAAGGTCAGAAATTTAGACGATCTACACCTTGGCGTGAAGAGCGCTTTAAGGTCGGCACAGTCTACACCTTGGCGTGAAGAGCGCTTTAAGGTCGGCATTCTTAATAATCTACACCTTGGCGTGAAAAGCGCTTTAAGATCGACATTTTAACGATCTATACCTTGGCGTGAAAAGCGTTTTAAGGTCAGAATTTTATTTTTTACAATCTAGACCTTGGCGTAACAAACGCTTTAAGGTCAGAAATTTAGACGATCTACACCTTGGCGTGAAGAGCGCTTTAAGGTCGGCATATTCTACAATCTCCACCTTGCCGTGAAGAGCACTTTAAGGTCGGAATTTATATGATCAAAAACCTTGGTGTGAAGAGCACCTTAAGGGCGGCATTTATACGATCAAAACCTTGGTGTGAAGAGCACTTTAAGGTCAGAATTTAGACGACCCAAAACCTTAGTGTGAATAGCACTTTAAGGTCGGAAAAGGTCAACAAAGCGCCTATCTAACATGCTCTTCGCACCTTAGTGCTCGAGCATGGAGGGCTATGTACCGTGGTGGTCTCCCATTGGCCGACCATATTGGCCGATCCAAGGCACGTCAGTAAAATACCGATCTAACATGCTCTTCGCACCTTAGTGCTCGAGCATGGAGGGCTATGTACCGTGGTGGTCTCCCATTGGCCGACCATATTGGCCGATCCAAGGCACGTCGGTAAAATACCGATCTAACATGCTCTTTGCACCTTAGTGCTCGAGCATGGAGGGCTATGTACCGTGGTGGTCTCCCATTAGCCGACCATATTGGCCGATCAGAGGCAGGTCGGTAAAATGCCGATCACACAAGAGGGACCCAAATATAGGGAGATTAACTGGCTCACTCGGACAATCAATAAGATCCCACGATCCGTGGGAATGGTAATAAATACCGGGAGTTACGAGTCCATAATGGGGCGTGATTTATGGGATCATAAGTGCGATTCATGTCTATAACGTCACACCGTTATATATAGCAATGATGAGGTCTAAGGCGGCAGGTTACTCTCATCGAATGTTCTAGGTCAAGACTGCTGTCAAGTTCTTTTAGCTCGGTATCGCTAAGGGTTCTTCGGCAGCGGTCTCCAATACCGGAACACTAGTGATAAGAAGGGAAGCTCTCTTTTTTTGTTGGCCGAGTTCAATTTTGGGGCTGAGTGTGCATTGGTTTGAAGAGGAATGACAGTAACACACCCTATGACATGTCCTTTTTAATACATTATTTGTTATTAGCGATTTTTTGTTGAAAATTAGAAGAATATGTGGTGTTACTCTCCTTATTTAATAAACTAAACTTATAATTTTAACTGATGAGAGAGAATGTGTCAGAGTGTGGTAATGTGTTTGTATTTCGGTTACATACCTGTTGAATGCCAATCCATCAATTTTTCCCGTCATTTTAGAGTTCATTGGATTGGATGGGAACAGCAATGCAAACACTCTGCTATAAGTGTTGTTAGCATTTCTCTTAGGTTGAATATGAGACTGAATGAATAATGTTTATTTGACTTAAATTTTTTAGTTATTTTGAGGCACTGGATAAAGCTGTTTGTTTATGCTTCTTCTTGTGTGGGTTAATTTTGTTGATGGGAAATTTGTTGTTGAATGCAAATGAGACTGTGTTTCACCCAGTTTTTTTCTTTGGTTTAGAAACTATTTTAATTTAAAGTTTAAAAATAAAACTAAATAAAGTAGAAGTTGTTTGATAATTTTCATTTATTTTAACTTAAAAATAGATGATTTTGAGGATAAAGTAAATAAATAAGGTGGTGTAGGTAAAATAGATTTGGCTCCTTTAAAGTAAATAAGTGTAATGTAAATCACTTAATGTCAATCATTGATTTTTTTTTTTTAAAATGATTGAGATTACTTACTTTATCTTATAAGGTGAAATGTTTGCTTTAGAGGAGTCCGTCCCATAGAAGCCATCATATGCATAATAGAAAAGAAAAAAGGTATAGCTGCACCTGCTTGGATCGTTTGATTGTAGTGCCAATGAGTGTGAACAATTCAGTTGGATTCTGTCTGAATTCTCTTGTACTTTTGTCATGTATCTTTTTGTTATTATTTTCTGATAAATGTGACTAATATAAAGCAGTGCCTAAGTACACGTCTTCACTCTTTAGTCAGTTTTTAAAATGTTGTAGAGTACTGGAGCCTCCTTTCCATTTTGTCGGCAACTGATTGGATCCATCAACTTATCTGCTGCACACCTTTTCCTGGTTTTAATTCCACTTAATATTCCAGAGAATTATCATACATACTATTGACATATATATTATCTACATTTCAAAGTGTGAAATTCAATGGACCTGTCTAATTTCGTGTCTTTGATTTCATGCCTACCCTTGTTGTCCGAAGTGTAGTGGGTGTAATGATAAATAACTGATGACCATAAACACCTTAGCCATAGTTACTCATTTGTAGAAATATGCCCAGAGGTTCAAATGACCTATCTGCAGACAGTTTATTTACATTATAAATTGATTATATTTTTATATAACAGCATGTTAAGTTTCATCTCTTCAATGTACTTATACAGCCAAATTATGATCAATATAGGTGGCTTGCAATGACTGGACAGTTCCGTCCCAGGAAATTGATTACCGATGTTAAAAATGAGATCTCTAATGCTGAAGATTTCGATCTCTCCACAGTCAAGGATGTTGCGAAGCATTTCATTAACAAGTCACTTTTTTCTTTTGGGTTAACCTCACAGTTTGCTTTTCCTCCTTCAACATCCGTGCTGTTTGCTATAGAGGGACATGGTGAGAAAGAAAGACTGCGACGCAAAGTGATGGTTTTTCACAAGGCAAGGAATTTGATTGCTTGTCATAATTTTTCATGCTCTGGTGTTAAAAGGTCTAAGAATTTAGGGGCCTGTTTGAATAGATTTTTATTTACAAACCTTTGAAAATATGAAGCAAAATTAAAACAAAGTGGAATTTTTATAATTATTTGTAAAATCAAAATGAGAACATGAGAACAAAAAACGTTCTCTCAAGCCAAACAAGTACTTTGACTTTCCTTAAATTATCAAAAGGTTGAGTGTGATTTGTTGGTATACAATTTAGGGAATGTTCTCCTCTGATGTGGAAAGTATGTTGCAACTGTTGATACTGGAAACTTAAACATGCAATGTGTGTAGTAATTGTAGAAGTTCAAACAAAATGATTTAATTATCAATTTTTTATTAACTAAAATTTTGATATTTCAATTTTAACCATCCCATCTTCTACTACTAAGTGTGAGTGGGAAAAAATAGTAAAAGACAAAAAAAAAACATTTGTTTGGGGTGATGTTACAAAACCTAGTATAAAATTTGAAATTGTTTCTTGATTCTGTTTTATTGTCATCCGAATCAGATAGCAGAGTGGTTTAACTTCTTAATCTTGTCATGGTGTAGCCACTGATACCATCTAGAATAGGCCTTCTGAATAAATTGGTTAGTTGTGGGTGTTCTCTGAGAACGGGGAACAATTTTTATTGATTTATTCTGGTGAAGTCGGTAGGAATGAGGAGTGCAAAGCTACATGATGATATGTATTTATGTTGTCCTTTGCCATGTATGAAGAAAAATTGCTTGGTCTTCAAAGACTCAGTTTTTTTCATTTGATTGTTTTGGGATTGATGGCATTTATTTGGTCTTTTTAGCTCATTTCATGGTTTCCACCACGTTGCCTCACTGATAGACATGCAAAGTGATTAAAAAGCTTAATTGTATTGATGAGTATGTTTGTCTCTGTTGTGCTTTATTCTTTAAAGTTTTAAGGTAGTCTCACTGGTAGGAAGGATTTCTTTGTCTTGTCCATTGTTTGTACTCCTTCATTATTCTATTGAGATGACTTCATTTAGTAAAATGAGTATGTTGCTACTTACTTTTTAGTTATTTTTTATTCGTACTCATTCATTCACATATGTATATTAGTATATTCTTCATGTCAATGTTGTTCTCTTATTGTGTGCCATGCTTTCTTTTAGTCTATAATGAAACATCTGAAAAGCAACATTCCTTGCAGCTTCCTGATCATGATCTTACATTTGAGGCAGCATGGCCTCAGCTGTTTATTGACCACAAGGGAAAATATTGGGATGTCCCTGAATCTTTATCTGTTGATTTGTCGTCCCTTGTGTCTGAATCTGGATTGCGATACCGCTTTGGGATACATAAAAATGGTGGTATTCCCAAGGCAATGCATGCAACTGACGGCAACCCGCCACTTTCTTTATTGCCTGGCCTTTGTGCAAAGGCTGCCTTTAGTTATGAGAAAACCAAATACTTCTGGAGAGATAAGGGTGATGTGGAAAAAGATAATGAAGAGGCGTTTCCATACGATGAGCGTCTTAAGGAACCTCACGCAGCAGTATCTGGAATGTTTGGTAATTTCTCTAGGTTGATGTTATTATTACTGTTTGAGATTAGAATAAGTATATTTATGTAATGTGTCAGTCACTCTTTCATTTTTGCGGTATGTGTTTACATGTTTCTTTATAATTTCCTTCATGCATAAAATTTTAATTTTGTTTAATTTTCCCGCTTTTTGTCTTTTTATTGTCATTTTGTTGAATATATATGGCTTAGGTAGAAAAATAAACAAATGAGAGGAAAGGAACACTTGCAGTGCAATAAAATTATATTGATTAGCGTGTTATGATGTGATACAAAATACAAAGCATTAAGAAATATAATCAAGTACAGAAGTTATTTCTGAGAGATCATTGTAAGATCCTGTAACTGATTTTAAAAAGCAATCAAGACATTATGAGATACTCTTTTTAACAAATTTATTGTACAAGCAAAATCTAAGGATGTTTATAGTGGGTCCTTTGTTTACATAAGTTACAAATTCCTGTTCAAATAGGCAGTTTTCTTATATGGAGTCAATATCAATGCATTCAAGGAATTCCTTACTGGATTATTGATTTCCTTACCAACATTTTTCCGTGATTGGCCAATTGATATATGATAGCTGGGTAGACAAGTTTGTAGCAATTATATTTTACTGAATAGTTTTCTTCTTGGTCCATAATACATTGTAGGTAGCTCCTTTGCTTCCTGGGTTTGGAATGGGAGGAGCTTTTCCAGCATTAATTCAAGAGAAGATCTAGAGGTGTCAACAAGCAAGAGATCTCGAATTAATGCTGATTTGTTTGGCTCAGTTTGCTACACCTTTCAGCATGGAAAGTTCACAAAACAATTCGGGGACTTAACCAGGGTAGATGCTCGTCTGGATATATCTTCAGCTTCAGCATTTGCGAAGAAGATTCTGAATTGTTCCAGGAGTTCAACTGCTGATGTTAGCGAACAACCATCAGCCTCACCTCGGCTAAATTTAATCTTTCAACAGCAGGTAAATAATTTCCCTCTTGATAAGAGCAAGTATCTCCTTGTGTATATCATGGTAGTTGAATCGAGATACAAATAATGTATCGGAAAGCTTATTTTTTGAATCGTGAATCGAATCATATTGTGAATCGTAAGATTCATGATCAATAAAAACATAGTGTATATATATGCATACAAGACATACAAAAGCACTCTAAGCACATTTTAACATAAAGAAACAGAAAAAATGAAGTCATACATAAATATATAGTAACATATAAACTTCAATACAAACAAAGATACAATTATACAAATAATAACAGTCTCAAAGCCAAAAGAAATGACTGCATTGTTCAACAACAAAGCCTCCAAAAAAACCATTTTTGTTGCTAAATATATGCATATACCAGGGACTGTTTGCTACTCTAATTCAGCAATATAGCCACCCAAAAAAAATATTAGTGTTGTTGCTGCATAAACTCAGCAACAAGTGGTGCTACTGCCACACAAATTTAGTCATACAGCCTCGAAAAATAAATACAAAATACCCCTATCCAAGATCATTCATCATCCCCAACCCCAAGATCTACATCACTCAAGTCATCTTCATCTTCTAATATCAAAAGTTCTTCTTCTTCATTATCTTCAATTTCATCCTCATCTTCTATTATTGATTTTCCCTTACCAATCTTGGCATTCAAGTTTCTTGGACCTATGTAATCAAAAGAAATAAGAAAATAATAAGGTCTAGTTCTAATTCCAACTTCCAAGTTCTAAACTAACTTTTAAATATAAATAATTACCTCTCTTTCTTTTCTTCTTTGGAGCTCCCTCATCAACACCAAAGCACTCATGTACATCCATCCATGAGGCATCAATAGGCAAGCAAGGATTCTCTTTTTCGGTGATCCACTCATCATCAGATTCAATATCTAACAAACATACGGAATCATAGGTATCTCCATTCTCTTCTCTACTATTTTGCCTCATCTCAAGTTGAAGATTATATTTGACATATACAAGTGCATTTAATCTTTGTTGCTCTAATCGATTACTTCTCTTAGTATGCACTTGGTCAAATGTACTCCAATTTCTCTCATATCCCATGGCACTACATGTAAGACTCAAAATTCTCATGGCCACCTTTTGTAACTCTTTACCTCCTCCACTGTAACTCTCCCACCAAAGAAAAAAAAATGTATTTATTTTACAAATGTAGTTATTAATTATTATGTATTATGTTTATGATATTAATAAAGAGTAAAAATTAAAGGGATACCCGGTTGTTTCTTATCTCTAGTGGCTATTTCCATGTCCATTCCAAAGATCTCCTTAGCTCCCTTAAACTTTTCAAGTTGTTGATCTATTATAACTCTTGTCCTTATATCCGAATCATTCTTTGAAAGGTTTCATATGTTCATATAAACCAATTAACACTTCACTATCCGGATTGAAGTTCTTGTCATAATGATACCTAACCAAATAAGAAATAACTTAGCTACTAGGCACAAAGAAAATAGTAGTTCTTAAAATGATAATTATTTTTAAATAATTTACCTAGGATTGAGATAATAGGCAGCTGCATGAAGAGGCCTATGAAGCTGCAGATTCCACCTAGTGTCAATAATCTTCCACACTTTTTTATACTTTGACTCTTGCATTTGAAGGTTTTGAGCAATTTTCTCTTTAGCCCTATCCATTGCTTCATAAATGTATGGTGAGGCTGGCTTTGAATCACCATCTGCAAGAATTAACACTTTCACAAGTGGGGTCACACACTTTAGGCAATATGTAATTGATCTCCAAAATCTATCATCACTCAACACTAGGTTCATTACTTGCTTAGCCTCATTTTTACTAGCATGTGGACTAGTAGCCCATTCCTCTGATGCAAACATTGATCTAAGAGCATTCTTTTGTTGTTTAATGCAATTTAGTGTAGGATAAGAAGTTGCAAATCTTGTCACAGCTGGTCTTGTTCCCCGCCATTGGAATATTGTCTATACAAATTAAGGACCCATGTATGCCTATATATGTAGGTAGTAATCTTCTTTGCATTAGCAATGGTATTATAGAAAACCGGAAGCTCTCCAATGTCCCCAAGGATTAGATCAAGGCAATGGGCTGCACATGGCGACCAAAATAGTTTGGTTCTCTTCTCCATTAACATTTGTCCAGTTACCACAAGATTAGAAGCCCCATTCGTCACAACTTGGACTACATGCTCCTCCCCAATTTCTTCAACAATGTTGTCTAACAATTCAAATATTTTTTTCCCATTCTTTATCACATCACTAATATCAATAGATTTCAAAAAAACAATCCCACTTGGACTGTTAACAAGAAAATTAGTGAGTGATCTTCCTTTCCCATCCGTCCAACCATCACACATCAAGGTGCATCCCCATTTCTCCTAATCACTTCTATATTTCTCTAAGCTTTTTTGGATGTTGTCAGCAGCTTTCTTCAAAAAAGAAACCCTCACCTCATGATAAGTTGGTGGCTTCAAACCTCTTCAATATTCTCCAACAACCTTCAACATTTGAATAAAAGGAGGACTCCTTACCAAATTAAATGGTAATGCATTACCATAAATGCATTTACAAATTTCTTTAATCACAAATTCCCTATCTTTAAAACTTCATTCATTTTCTTTTGTTTGAAAATTTTAGATGTTCCCTCTTTTCCTTTTACTGTCCCATTCTCTACATCCAAGCAATCCTCTTTCTTTTTATCTTTAGTTTCCAAGAGCTGGACAAATATTTCCTTCACATCATCACGAACACTTGTGCAAGCAATCACATTTTCCTTTGTTCCAACAAGATGATATTTCATCCTTGAAATACCACCCCAACAAACATGAAAACAAAACTTACATTTTACTTGAAGTCTGTTTGGAGGGATACTATCACAATAGTTCCAAGTGATATTGGGCTCTCTTTTTGAATGACCCATTTTTTAATGGCCTACCAAGTACCAATAAATAGAAACTTAGACAACAGCAAGAGAGGGAAGTGGTAGAGGGAATAACAAAGAAAAAAAGAGAGAACAAGTAAAGGAATGGACCACACAACAAGGGAAGCCCTTACCCTTGGACCACGATGAACAGCAACCCAAACAAAGCAGAGAACTTGAACGAAGCAAAATTATCGGCACTTTTTGTCTCACTTTCATTTTTTTTTTTAAAAAATCATTTTTTTAGGGTTTTCAGAACCGGGTCGTGCATGACCCGACCTGGTTTCAGACGTGACCCGTGACTTCTAGAATCGTGCAATTTCTTCTTAAATTGCAATTTTCCGATTCGCAACACGATGCAAACGATTCAAACATGATTCGTGATCAAAAACGATATGACCTGCGATTCGAATCGCGGAACCTAGGAATCGTATCGTATCGTACGATACGAATTGCGATACGTCCGATACTTACTACCATGGTGTATATTAGTTTGAATGTCTTTTAATCAAGAACAAATTTTAACTGCAAAGCATGTAATTATGTTGGAAGTGTGGTACAAGAGTTCCCCTCTGTACAACTACTACAAGAGTATTTTATATATATAGCTTATCCAATAAACAAAACTTGAAGCTAGACATACCTATCTATTATGAATTTATGATATATAAAAGTTGAGACATCATCTTTTGAAATGCCACCTAAATTTCTTGAACATATACCAATTATACATTCTTACTCTTTGGTTGAGTGCCTTTTTAGCTTTCTTTTAACGACTCTTCTTATATACATGACTGTAAATTATTAACTTTAATAACTCTTAACTTTATACATCATATCATTTTCAATAACCCTCAATTTTTTCATTATTATTATATTAGAAAACTATATTAAATTGTAAACATGTTGAATAAATAGTGTTTCAGGTTGCAAGATCAATTGTAGTTCATGCCGTTGTGGTTCTTGCAAAAGATTATTGAGTTCCTTATAAAGTCTTACATATGCGTCTCGTAACTTTTCATACATATGTTTTAAAGTTCTACAACAATGTTTTCGTTTATTTTTTCCATTAACTTTATGGTGTGTACATGTGTCAAATATGAACTAAACCTCAATACATAGCCCTTTTCTGAGTTTTTTTAAATTTGAATTGATTTTTTATTCTGTAGAGTGTAATAATGTTTGATTAAGCAGGTATACTTTTAGCTTGTTTGTTTATAATCTTAATGTTTCTCATTGTGGGAACCAGAATTGTACACACCTTGGCTTTATGCAAAATGTTCTGGATTGACATTGTGCAAGTGATTCACTATAGCTATGATGATGATTCATATAGGAAAAGAAAGTAAAATTTGTTTAGTTTTCTACTTGTAGGTTGCTGGGCCAGTTGTTTTTCGAGCAGATTCTCGAATTTCACTCGAGTCGTTCGCCAGGAAAAATGGCCTGCCAGTAGAGGATTTCATTTGCAGCCTGAGTTACTCCTTGAAATCTCTTCAGTCTGGAAAGGTTGTTGCTTGGTATTCTCCAAAAAGACAAGAGGGAATGGTTGAGTTGCGCATGTATGAGTTTTAGTAGAGAATGCAACCCTCACTTATTTGTAACTCATTCATGCTTAGACCTTTCAATGCAAGAAGCCCCACGTGCTTGCTTTGAAAGATGCATTTATTTAACATTTGATCAGCTGAAACTCGACATCATTGATTTTGTAATGCCAAAAGGATTAGTTAGTTGCTCCTTTGATTTTGGTGTTTTATTCATCTTTAGCATCAGTGAAGTGCTTACTCTTGGCAGGACAAGCCAAGACTAGCAAAGCCAAGTACATTTGACATACAAATCCAAAAGAGAATGAAAATAACACACTGTGGCACGGTGGACTAAAGTGAATTAAGGGAAGGTAATACTGATTCCCTTGTACTGGCAAAAAAATAAATGTCCGTTCAGGCTGTTTAATTAAATAAATAAATATAAGTTTATGATTAAGTTCAATTATTTAAATGAATTTATTATTTCGACACTAAGAATTCCTAAACAAGTTATATATATCAGAAAAATTAAAATCGCATAAGTTTGTCAAATATTGAGCGTTTATTTTTATTAGTAAATTGTCGGCTAGTATTGAAATATTTATTGCATACTACATCGGTGGAGTTAATAACTAAAGGAAAAATTTCAAAAATGCAAAATATAAATTGTTGAGGTTTCAAGGGGTGACAACTGTCTATTTAATCATCATCTATCAAATTCTTTCATAATAAAATTCATACAATTTATCTATTATACAAATATAATAATAATAATAATAATAATAATAATAATAGATTGCATATAAATATAATAATGTAATGACTTTTAATGTTTTTTTTAAAGACTGTAAAAGTGAGTTATTTAATTTTTAAAATGTTTTCATATAGATGAATTAGATATCCATCTATTAAAAGATTGTTAATGAATGAATAAGATAATTTTTTATTTATTGTCACTTCTAAATTTCACAAAGGTCACTTTTGATCAAAAATAAAAATGAACAAGAATAGAATTTATTGTTCATTTTTGTGCATCATAGCTTGTGTTGAAAAAAGAATGACATAGGAGTAGGGATGGTAACAGGATGGGTACAGATTTCAATATCTTAGCTTGTTCTCAAATTCATATCTTATATTTATCTTTGTCCTCAATATATGATGAAAATGAAATTTGTGTCTCATCCCTATTCTATTGGGTATTAGATATACCTATCCCTACCTATATTTTTTTTTTTCGCAAAAAGATATAAACAAAAAAAATTCCAACATAAAATAACAATTATAAAATTATATTAATTAAATTTATCTAACAAATTTAAAATAGATTAAAAATTACATAAATCTCAAGTAAATTCAAAAAAAATGTAAATTAAGTTTCTAGAAATTTAAAGTGAGGACGGGATGAAAACATGACAAGTAAATATAAACCCATCCCCCTCCCCATATCCGATTTAATAAATCGGATATTACTCTTACTCGTACTCATATCCAATCAAACTGTGTATTTCTAATCAAAGTTGATACGGGTTTAACTCACTTTTCTTAATTAGATCCTTTATTATATTTTGATATGTTTTTAGCTCACTTTTCATTATTGATAAATATTTTTCCTTTTTTCATGTAATATTTATGTCTTCATATATAGAATTATTATTTTTTTATTTTTTAAATAATCTACCCCCACTGACTCAAGGTTCTAAGTCTGTCATCCCTACATAGAAGCCCTTTTCAAGTCAATCCCTAGTCAAAGACCCAACCTTTACACCAGTAACAATGAGCTCCTCACCCTTACCTATATTGATAGACCCCCTCCTCTCAAAAACAATCGTTCCATTGTCGACAACAACCTTCTCATCCCAGCCCAAATTGGCAACCTACTCCTCTCAAATACGCATAACCATCCTTGAAGAACTTCAGCCACAAATTATGGATTTGGCATGTATCTCTTATGGCATTACAAGTTTAATCAATGGCAAAAACATGTTAAACCAATCCAACATATTTGATGATGTGCTGGAAGAACAAGCTTCCAATGTGCAATTTATGGTGAATGAAGTTCGATATAATATATGATACTATCTAGTAGATGTTATATATTCTAATTAGGCTACGATTGCCAAGAGTATTTCAATTCCGTAAGGAGAAAAGAATTATTTGTATAACATCCTCAATTTTGGATTCTAAAAATAGATAGTCTAGTGACCCTTGATGATGTGATCCAAACTGGCTAACCAAGAAAGAATATGAAGATGTTCACTTAATATAGCCCTGATCTTATATTTAAATGGTTAACAATGTCCTCAGGCTTTATTAATTAAAGCTACATTATAATAAGAATTAACAAGAGTGAGATGTCATGACTTAGATGGGACATTAAGGCTTAGAATGGGTCGGAACCCACCAATGCTCACACGTAAAACAATAAAAGATGAAAATAACAGAAGAAAAGAGAATAGAGGAGAGAAGAGGAACAAAAATCAAAGACCTTGAGCTCTAGAGCTTGCTTCTAAGTCTTTCATAGAGGTAAGTGCTCCACCTGTTACTCCTTATTCGTTAAGTGTATATTCGCAAATTTTATAAAATTTACCTCATAATCATCTATGTCTTGTTAAATAAAAATTTGTCTCATATCTATTTTACACTCATAGATATTCCTTAACTGTAAACTCGTAAATTTTATAAATACTTACAAATATTCATAGATATTTGTATTTTTAAAAAACTAAAAAATTAATTCTATTGAAAAAAGTGCTACAATTCAATTTAAACTTATATTTAATGTTAATTCCATTGAAATAATAAAGATATACAGTTAACATTAATTTTTTAAACTTAGCACATTCACTGAGGCTTATATATCTTTCTTTTAAATTCAAATGTTTTTCGGTCTTTAGAACATTCACTGAGCCTTATCTCATTCTTTTAGGTGAGAATTATACCTCATTCTTAGGTTCAAATATTTTTCGCTTAAACAGTTGAATTTTTTGAGGTGAAGCTTATAACCTCTAGCAGAAAACGATGTTCGAGTTTAGTACCTTTCAAAGTATAAAAGTCCTTCTAAGTGTCAAAGAATGACATAAATCATGTTTTAGGTTTTGTTTTTTTTAGTAATCTTCAATGTTTATAACTGCATTGCACAGGGTAAAAAACTTGTATACATATATGTGAAGTAACATGCGAAATCCATCTTAAGGTTTAAAGCTCATCATTTAAATAAAAAATAAAAAAAACTCCTAAAATTACTAAAATTCATATACCTAATGCCACCATTTGAGGGATCTCTAACCTAGAAATTGTAAAATTTTCTAGGTTAGAAATTTATTTACACCGAAGAATCGAATTAATAATTAATTCAGAATATTCTAATGTCTTATTTTATGTTTAGATTATTTTATAATAAGAATATCAGTTAAGAGAGCTTTCAAAAAATAAGTAACAAGTAATTTCAAACATATACTAGTGCTACATCTCGTGACTTGCATGAGGTGTTTCGTTGTGTTTCTAAATCTCAGTCTTTGTAATCTTTTCTATCAGTTTTTATAGTTTTTTCTATCGATTAAGAAAAAAAACAAACTTGCAATTCTGCAAAGAAATGCAATACTACTATGCTCAAAAAGGTTCCTAGCAGCAACAACCCTTTTAACCCAACCGTGCACCCCAAAATGCTAATGCTTGGTTAGTGATTAATTGGAGGTGAGTCACTCATGCACACACATAAATGCAAACACAAATAACATCTTTATGAGTAGAGTTTTGAATCAAAAACTACCTCGAGAAAGCACCAAGTTATTATAACATAGAAGATGAAATTTTAACACCAATAAATAAAAATGGTTTATTCTACTAAAAATACATTTGTCAAAGATATTATCAAAAAGACTACTCTACTCAACCACGGCCAATAAGTCACTTGCTTTACAGAAGCAGTGTTTTGCATCAGTTCCCAAATCCACCTAATAAATTGATATGACAAAAGCATTTGATTAGTAATGGCATTACAATGCTATCAATTTTAATTAGGAATTCGGGGTCCCAACTTTGTTTCTTTTATAGTGATCACATTGCTAAGCACGCAGTATTTAACAAGCAACATTCAATTCATCAACAATGTAATCACTATTATTACATGAAAATGTAATTTATAACTGGAAACAACAGCCATTATAAGATGCAGTACTACAACCACCAAGGAAACTGAAAGGAAACAATTAGGCAAAAAAGAGCGTAAAGTCTAACCAATTCATGAGTACATCTTGTGCAAAAAATCTATACCAAGAAAATTTTGCATAAAATGGTACTTTAGAAAGAAGGGAGTATCAAGGTCCAATAAAGAAACAAAAAGTTAAAAGGTTGTTGTCCACTTCACAGGCCAAAGACAATTTCATCACATATATTGGACAGATCAACCCTTAAAAATAAGATGAACTTTTAAAACATTTTCCTGACAAATGGAACTCGGTTGAAACAAGTATGAGATTTTCAGATAAGAATGGGAAAACCATGCTACAAAAGCTAACTGTCATAGCCGGAGAGCCCAAGGCCTTATAAACACCTACACTAGAATCTCATACTTCCAATGTGGAACTCAAACCACATAACTTACAATTGGATACTAACATATGCTCAAGACAAACAAGAAAGAACATAAAATTGGTTGGCATAGCATTTTTTCTCATCTTGGCTAACCCCATGTTCCAAGAATACAAATCACTAGTAATTTCCCCCTAAGTTGTTCTTCTGATATAAATATTTCTTAAGCCAGTGATTAATTAATTAAAAACAACTTTTAACAGATAATGTTACAATTTGGAGTACTATTAAATACATGACACTATATACAAGTATAAAGCAAATATTTTCAAATCACTTACCTCATAAGCATTCATGTCAGTGAATAGTACCTGCAAAAGAGAAAATTAAATTACATTTGGAACAAATTCAAAGCACAAATGATTAAAAAAATGCTATTTTTTTTTCCTCTCAAAATTATGACTACTCGAACCAAAGGAATGCTTAAAAACATCCATTTCTCGCATTTGATATTAAATCATTCAATTCTTAAGCTACACGCCACAACCCTCAAGACATGCAAATTAAATGAAGCAAATCTCAAAAGTCTTTCATTTTATACAATCAAAATAGTGAAAAGCCTTGGAGCTTAACTTTAATGCAATACATGGAGATGATATTCATAATTTCATATTTCATATTTCATATTTTACATTTATTACATTTATTGAAAATATCTCCTACTTGTATCATAAATATACTAATAATTTTCACCAAAAATCAGATTCCAGTTTTTTTTATTCATTTGATTAGGTTTTGATTCCTACTTCATTTCTTGCAATTAGATAATGTATTATAGTTATGTATATAAATTCTGCGGTTACTTGAGTAATTCATAAACTTGTCTTCCCATTAAAAAGTTGATATCAACACCTCAATATAACCAAAGAGCTTTAGTTTCTTCTTCGCCAAACCAAAAGGTGAAGCCCAATGTTCTCTTCAATGAGTGTGTAAAATATAATACCATTCATGAGCTTTGCCTAAAAGCTATAGCTTTTGGGAGAGTTGGTCCTTAGGACATCAATTTATGATGTAATTGTAAACTGAGAACTAGGGATTGGAATTGGGTTTCAAGGATTAATTATTGATAACCCAGGAATTCATGATTACTACTTACTTGTTTGGATCTTGGGATGCCTTAACCCTGGTTAGATTTAGGATATTAACCTTAACCATGAACCGTCCATATAAGTATATTACCAGCCTCAAGGATATTAGCTTATCAATAAAATTGAATATTGAGAAATTTTTAGATTATACTTGTCTTTTGCCCACTTCTATTTCACCTCCTTCACAGTAATTAAACTTGTACCTTTGTTCCAGCCTTTAGTTCTCCAGCCTCATCACCAACGGTGAGGACCTGAAACAAATATGGAAGAAAATGACCATATTATATCCAAAACACACAAAGAGAACAATTTAAAGACCAAGAACACACAAGGTATATATGTCTACTTACTTCTCCTACAAGGTATCGCTCAAATTTCACAGCTGACTTGGGCAGCAAAACTCCACCAGCTGTTTTCTGCACCAAAATACATTCATAAATCAGCTACGCAACATTGAAAATTAGCTGTATACTTTCATACTTAAAAGTTGCAGAATACCTTATTCTAGTGGTATAACAAACTTTTCTAAACCAGTAACCTAAATGGTATCAAACTAATTCATAATACAACAGAAAAAGCCATCAACTAAAAAGTTTTATAGAGGTTAAAAATAGAACACTATAGTATGTAGCAGAAAATTATATATGTACAAGGAACCATAATCAAGTGAATCATTAAAAGGAAAGCTTGCAATGTGATAGGAGCAATAAACAGAAAATAATCACAACATCACAAATTAAAAAAATAAAAAATAAAACGAAAATAACTTTCAGGAAAAAAAAAAAAAAAAAA